CCCCAAAACCCCAAAACCCCAAAACCCCAAAACCCCAAAAGTTACTGTAAGATTGGTATTCAATTAAATAATATATTCCAAAGATGACCAGTATGCTTAAAATCGGAAGCAGAATAGGCTGTGGCTCCTACGGTGATGTTCACGAAGCCATTGACATTAAGAAGAAGAAATAAAGTTGCTGTCAAGATCTTCAAAGATCCTTTCAAAGATGTTAAGAAGTGAATGGACCAACCTGAGGTTAAGGTCATGACCAAGATCAAGCATCAAAACTTAGTCACCCTGAAAAGAGTTATATTTGAAAAGAGCAAGCTTTACCTCGTAATGGAGCTTTGCCAGATGAGCCTCTCGGAACTTATTGAGAACAAACTCAAGGTGAAGGAGAAGTTCTCAACCCAAGAAATTCAAAAGTACATGACTGATATCATAAAAGGTGTCCAACACTTACATTCATGCGGTTATATACATAGGGATGTTAAGCCGGACAATATCTTGGTGGATGAGAAAGGCTCCCTCAAGCTGACTGATTTTGGTACTATCAAAAACATGAAGGACAAACTCCCCTTCACAAATTATGTCTCTACTCGGTGGTACAGAGCTCCTGAGTGCATCCTCGAAGTTAAGAAATATGACGAGAAATCAGACGTGTTTGCTATAGGCTGCATATTTGCCGAGCTGTTCAAACTAAAACCGATGTTCTGAGGAAGCTCTTCTTCTGATCAGTTGTATAAATATATCGATGCAATGGGAGACGGACAGCTGAAAAAGTGGGCAGAAGGTAGTAAATTAGCCAAGAAATTCTGGGTGAGTAAATCAAAATCCCACACACCAAAACTACAGGAAGTAATGCTTGGGATGTCTTACCATGCATTCGATCTTCTCAGCCAAATGCTATGAATAAACCCGGACGAAAGGATCTCCCTTGACAAGGTTCTAAAACATCCATTCTTTGATACGAAAGCAAGCATCCTAAAACCCAAATTCTTTGCTAAGATTCCTTCCACTAGAACTGAGAAGAAAGATGATGCACATGAATCTTCTGATGACAAATTTAAGCCAAAGAAAATTATTAAGAATTATATCACAAAGCTGAAGGATCGAGAGAACATAAGCTTATCAAAGGTTAATGAATGCGAGAACGAGACTTCAAGGGAGATGACACCTTATAAAAAGTACAAAATCAAAGTTTCGGAAGAGCGCTCAAAAAGCAAGTTCTACTTTCAAAAAGATACCCAGGGAAGTCCTAGTGACGAAATGATGACTGGAATATCTTCTTCTCGAGAACATTTCAATTTTGGAGATAAGCTAAGTGACGGCCAAGAACGTCCGATGGGAATGAAAAGAGTCTCAAGCTTACCCCGACTCACTTCTTCTCCAGATGCAAGGAGCTTTGTACCTTCTTCTGAAAGCTGGAGATTTAACAATGTACAAAAACCTGAGGTTAAGTTATCCAAAAGTAGACAAAACTCAGCCCATTCGGGGTCTTCTTCAAGTGGAGATGAGCTAGATATTCTTCAAAAGAAGGTAGAAGAGCAGAAGACGGTGCCTTTGCCTAGCCTCAAAAATTACTTGGCTGTTCCAATGCAAAGCAACTCAAGAAGCTCTCTGAGTATCAGCAAGGAGGAAGAACTTAACAAGATAGACAAATATTTCCAAGATATTCGTGGAAATAGCATTTTAAGCACACTAAGCTCATCAAACGACTTATTTTCTAACATCACAACGAAAAACGAGTCAAGGAGAGGCTCCATTGGAAATACAGGACATACAGTAAGAGGGCTCAATGCAGGAAACCAAGTAGTCTTTGGAAGTGGGACTCAGAGTATACCGAATTTCCCTTCTCTACGTTCCAATGACAATCACCTCTATTCTCAATCAAGGCAGTATTATTAATAACACTAATATTTGGAAAAATTCTTTTAACAAAATATCAATAATCTTTCACATAAATTTTTCAAAATCAAGAACCCTTATTTTCATTCAAAATTCTAGCATAAAGCATCAAATTCTCTATCAGTACAATCTACACTCTGAAACGTTCAAAACTGGCTAAAATACCATGAACTAGCTATAAGCTTCAACAGACATGACCCTTTCTTTAAGGGCACTCCATTACTCTAGTGAAAATGACTATCCAAATCTATCTAAACAAGGCACAGGTTATGAAATTTTCCAAATTTCATAACCAAAATGGCTTCTTTCTCTAAACCATATTTCTCAAACATTGGTGAATTCACAATTTGGTGGAATGCTAAGTGACATTATAATTTCAGTCAATTTATAACAAATTTTGCTAATTTTAAGGAGCAGATGATTAGGGGATTCTTGGACAAATTTTAACTAGAATAGTACTGAGAGATGACAGTTGTAGAATGATGAGCAAATTCTGCTGTTTATTGTGGCTTTAGAGAGAGCCAAAGCTTGAAAAGTTACCTTTTGGCTCTATTATGAGGGTTCGGGATGGAATTATGACTTCTAGTCTCATTCAAAATCTTCAAATTTTATCACATAAACTAAGCAAGAGCCTAGAGAAGGAGTTTAAATAAGAAGAGTAAAATACAAATTGGTTATTAAATTTCTTCCACTTGCTACGTCACGAGTTCAGGACTAAAAAGGTGAGGTCAGTATTTAGTATAGAAAATTTAAGAAAATTGTAACTCATGTCGAAGAAAATTTCCCTCCTTGTTGAATCCTCAGAGTTAATAGATTTACAAAGGTCCTGGCCGTCTTATTCTTGCTAAGGAAATTATCTCAACTTGGTCGATAAATACTTTTTAGGGAATTCAGGTAAGAAATTTATCCTGATTTTAGCCAAAATAATTGATAAGAGATACAAAGAGATAATTTATCCAAAATTGAGGACTGTAAGTTCAGGGTACTCCGATGCTATCTTCCCTCCAAAGGTAATTAATTTCCTTCTAAAATTCTCTTCTCTAAGCTTAAGATGAAATTATTCTAAATTCATTTTCAAAATAAAATATTATAAAAGGGGTTTTGGGGTTTTGGGGTTTTGGGGTTTTGGGG